TCACTAACCCCATTAGGGAAGTGACATGGACAATGCCTGGCACTACTTATGTGGGGGTGGACTGAAGGAAAAGAGGTGTCTCAGCTCTCAGGTTTCTGCTTTGGGTGATTAAAGATGGCCAGGTTGCTCTCCTCAAGGATCCAGAGCACAAGAGGAAGTACAAGTTTTGCAGGGAAGAGGTCATGTAAGAGCTTGCTAAATGTGAAGACCCTGTGGGGTATCTGATAGGCAACTTGGAGGCACTTGGATAAACTCCATTACAGCTTCAGAGAGGACTGTACTAGAAATAGTTTTTGGTGTCAGCAACATAGCTGATGCCGTGGAGACCACCCAGATCATAGTCTAGACTTTGATGCTTTGTCTACAGGGAAGGAGAAAAGAGACGAGGGGTCTGTGGGTGAAGGAGAGAGCCACACTAGCAATGGTGAGGAGGCAGCAAGAGAGCTAGGTGGACAACAGTGTTTGAGATGCACAAGTGGTCAAGAGTGTCACCTGCTGCAGTTTGTTGTTAAATGCCATCGAGTCAGTTCAGACCCACAGTGACCCTGTATAGGGTTTCTAAGGAGCAACTGGTGAGCTTGAAGCAACCTTGTGGACCAAGCTGACTTTGTAGTCCAGCACATTAACCCACAGCGCCACACCAGGACTCCATTTACTTAATAATTCCCTTTATATTAACGTGAATAGTTTTTAAATTTGAGGATAAAACTGCAAAGTTTAGGGACAGTGAAATCTGAAGAGTCTTACTTGGCACAGAGGTTGTCATTCAGGACTCGGCCACAAGTGTTCAGTAGAGGGTGGCCCGCAAGGAATGTTGTGAAGAGCAAGTCGGTGAGGGAATGAAAACCACGGAAAATGAAGCTGAGGTCTGAGAACATGTTTCTTGGGAAAGAGTGAAAGCTGGAAGGTTTTGGAGCTAGTAGGACGGTGAGGGTGGACGTGGTCCAAGATGTGGCCACTGAGTGCACCTGGGGGTTTTCAAGGTGACACTGGGGAAGGAAGGCGCTAGAGGAGAGGAAGTTAGCACCCCAACAATCTGTTGTCAGCTCATTGGTTAGCCGGGTAAATGTCGGGGAGCAGAACCAGTTGGGCCACAGGGGGACAGATTTTTGATATGAGGATGGAAAAGAAAAAGGCCTGGTTGCTCGCCTGAGGGGCTAGTAGTCTTCTGGGCCTCTGGCTACAACCCGGGTCTCCTTCCTCTAGGTCCAGTCAGTAAGGACCTCGGTTAGTCATCAGAAAAGGCCTGGGTTTCCTTGGTGACTGTAGACCAAGGCAGGCCGTTAGTCCATCTCTGGATCGTTGGAATTGGTCTGTGGTTGGTTTCTCTGCTGTTAAGTGCCGTCGAGTCGGTTCCAACTCATAGCGACCCAAGAGCGGCTGGTGGGTTCGAATCGCCACCCTGACGTTGGTTCAGGGCTTATCCCTCGGCGCCATGCTGTTTCTCTGTAGGAGCTCCTGGGACTCCGCCAGGGTCTGTCCATCTCCCTCCATCCATAACGGGGTGCCCACGACGTGTAGGGGAGCCCTGGGGGAGGGGGTGCCCTAGGTCCGTGCTTCAAAGCCCCCAGCCGCTCCTTGGAAACCCAACACACAGGGTCGCTATGAGTCGGAACCCACTCAACAGCAGGACGCCTAGAAGGAATGCTGACCAAGAGGCCGGTCTTCCTTCCTGGACCTCAGGCGCTGTGGACTTTGGCGGCACTTTTGAATCACCTGGAGAGCTTTTAAGACCTCCAATGACCGTGGTCGGGGTCATAGACATCTGGGGGACCCCGATTTTGGGATGGCCTGGAGCCCAGCACCCAATACCCAACCCTCGAAGCCTACAAAGGGCAGCGCCCTCAAGCTTGGTTCAAGAGCCCTGGAGCGCCGGCGCCTCTTCACTCCTTTCTCTCTTGCTCCTGGGGCCCCGGAGAGACCACAGCCCGGTCTCAGTCGACCAGTCGCTTCAAGGACAGAAGTCTGCTGGCCACCGTTAGGACCCTTGGGCATCGCGGGACACGGGTTCGGAGCTGTTAGCGTCATTAGGAGCGGCCGTCCGGACTGGAAGCCTTCTGGGAATCGTAGTTCCGGCTCAGCCTGCAGCGGTCTCGAGGACGAGAAAGTCGAAGGGTTATGAACTACATCTTCCAGCAGACCCCGCAGTTCACTTAGCGAGGGATGGGATGGGGAAATGGGTGTGACCAATATGCTCAGTTATTCCGAGTGGTCCCGAGCGCTTCCGAACCCTGCTTTTGATTCCTTAATTCCTTCGGGGTAGATCCCCACCTAGACCTGGCCGCCCCTGGATCCCTTCAGGGCGGGGAACATGCTGAGCTCTTGGGCTCCCAATCTAAGGGAGCACGTGGATGGGGGGACATGTGGGAGAGTTGGGGAGGGACCCTCTGAGGATCTAGAAACCGAGACGGCCCCCCTCCCCCCAGCGGAGCCGGGGTGTGTGTGTGTGGGTGTGTGTGCGTGTGCGTGTGCGCGTGCGCGCGCGCGACGTGCAGAGAAATGAGCAAGGGCCCCTGCGGGCTCACCACTCAGGAGAGCCTTGAAGGTCGGTCGCAGTGAGAAGTGAACACTTCTGTAAGCTGTTAGGACAGGGAAGGAAGGGGACCTTGCTGTGTGAGCGGTTGCCCCAGCTCAAGCGTGGAAAAGGGATGAGTTTGAGGTCTGTGGCAGAAGATAACAATACTTTGGACGAAGTTGGTGGCAAAGACGAGGATGAGCGAGAGAGAATTCAGAAGTCAAGTTCATGGACTTTATTGGAAATGGAACTGGAGGGTGGGCTCTAGGGTTTTTGGCTAGTGGGACACCAAGGATCAGCGGTAGTGCAATGGGTCAGGAGTCGGCCTACTAACTGGAAACTTCCAGCCGCTCCAGGGAGGAAGATGAGGAAACCCTATACAGGGTCACTACTCATCTGAAGGCAGGTGGGACACCAGGAAGTGGGAGGAGTAGGACTGAGGCAGTGTTTGGGGAGTGGGAATCCCTCGTATTGGAAATAGTGAGTTCATGATGTTCAGCCAACACCTAAGTGGAGACACTGAGCAGACAGGAGGATGGAAGTACGAGGGCTCTGAGCGCCTAGGTAAACAGAAAGAACAAACATGGAATTACCCGGGATGAGGAGTCCCAGCACTGGACTGCTAATCTTCACCAGCCTCTCCTTAGAAACCCTGTACAGGTTGCTATGAGTTGGAACCGACTCGACAGCACTTCACAACAAATTGTGGGAAGGAGGAGGAGTAGGTAAGGGCTTGAGGACAGGACCTTGGGAGTAGTTCAGGAGTAGGAGCGCCTGGTAATGGAGACCACCGACCACGGTCTCTGCAGGCTGAGAGCAAACTATGACAACATGGTGGGAGTGGAAATGCTGTTGCTAACCTTGCCTGGTTGCTTAAGTTGACGCTAGAAAGTGATAGCTGGCTTTGGAACCTGAGATGCCATTGGAGCGCATCTTTTCCAATTGTGAACTGAGTGAAGGTTACCATTGGAGACCTTCACAAGCTCAGTTGTGGAGAGGTGAGAACGGTTAAGTGGGCATGATGGGAAAAGGAAGGAGAGGCGAGAGGTGGAGCTAGTGAGGGTCTACTTTAGAGCCCAGAAGTGAGGCTCACTGGGTGCTTGGGGTGCAGATGGGCGAGTTAGAGCTTGTCTGTAGACAGGTGAAAAGGATGGAGAAAGGACAAGAGATCCAGGCTTCAGTGGAGTGACTGGTGGGTTTGAACTGCCAAACTTGGCTAGCAGCAGAGAAAGCTAACCACCAGGGCTCCTTCAATTAGATCTATGTTGTTGTTAGGTTCTGTCAAGCTGGTTCTGATGCATAGCGACCCGGAGAGGGTTTCTGAGGCTATAAATCTTTACAGGGGCAGAGTCTTAGCTTTCTCAAGAGTGGCTGGTGGGTTTGAACTGCCGACCTTATGGATAGCAGTCCAGTGCTTATCCTACAGTGCCACCAGGGCTGCTTTCAATTAGCCATTCATATGGAGCTCTGGTAGCATAGTGGATTACAAACTGAGCTGCTAACCGACAGGTCAGCAGTTCAAACCTACCAGCTGCTCCATGAGAGACAGATCAGGCTTTCTGATCCCATTAAGATTTACAGCCTCAGAACCCTGTACAGAGTCGCTATGAGTTGGAACGGACTCGACAACACATAACCCCCAACACCATTATCTCTAGAAGCTCATGACCAAGAAAACGGCACAGGGACAGCCATTGCCTTGGAAACAAAACCTGCATCCATGGAGCAGCCTCCCGAGCCCCAACATTGTGGGTGGGAGGGCAGTCTGCCTGGAACCTGGGAAGCCCATCTGAACTGCCCACTGTCCTCATGTTAGTATACCTCTCATTCTGGCACACTTAAAAAAGGCATTTGCTAAGCATGCATCGGAAGCTGTCTGACTCAGAACCAACTAGATGGCACGTAACAAGAATGTTAGATGGCAGAACAGTCTTCTCTGCATTTTCATATCTGACACAGTACCAATAGACATCATTCCAGAAAACTGGAGAAGGGTAATTAATGCACCACAATTCTTGATTAATCAAACAGGAACATTTAATAAATTCAAGTGTGCTCAAAAAGCAAGATGTTCAGAAACTCCACTGTCTCCTCCGTGAAGGGTAAGTTCAAGCTCCTGCTCAGGCCAGGGCTGTTGGCTCCCTCTGCCCATGTCACTAGTGCCCAGCACCATTCTGGTGGTCACCTCTGGTCTCAGACCCCCAACAGTGGCTGACCAGAGGCCAGGGCAGGTGAAGCTAGAAAGTCCTGGTAACACTACAAGGCTTCCTCCTACCTGTAGCTGCCTCCCTTCCTTGTGCTGGCCTCAGCTGTAAGGTCCATAAAAGTGACCCAAGAAACAGGGCCAGGCTGGACTAGGGGGCAGCCTTGCTGGGAGAGGGGGGAGGGCAGACCTGGGAGGCACTCAGGGCTCGATGCTTCAAAGGATCCCAGGGAGACAAGGAGGAAGGCTGGGCTCACCCCGGAGGCTCCAAATGGGCAGCGGTCACCAGGGCCTCCAGACACTGTGGGTGCCATGGGCTAGATGGGCCTCGGTCAGGCTGCCCAGGGCCGCGGGCACCAAGTCCGGCCCCTCGTCGGGCACACGGCTCAGTTCAGCCTCTTGAGCTTCCTCCAGGTCGGAGCACAGGTCGTCCCCTGGAGGGTCTGGGGGGCTGGGCAGCAAGTACCCTGAAGACCCTCCCGCAGGCCGGTCATTCCGGCCAGGGGCTCCCGGTGGCCGGGCCAGGGCGTCCCCCAGCAGCTCCCGGAAGCTACCGCCCTCGCGCAGCGGCATGGACTCCAGCAAGTGGTTGAGCAGCTCAGCGGCGACGGTGGCGTCCATGGCCTGGCACGTAGACACAAACGTGTGCACCTCGTGCATGCACTGGATGTAGCCGGCGGCGAAGCGCTCGCTAGCCTCGGCCTGCAGCTGCTCGCGCTCTGCGCCCGGGGCGGGAGGGAGAGAGCCCCAGCAGGGTGAGCGCCGGTAGGGGCTCACCGCTGAGGGTCCCCGCGCCCCCGCCGCCCTGCTCCACTCACCGCGCGCCCGGCCACGAAGCGCGCCCTGGACGCGCCGCACGGTCAGCTCAAGCACCTCGGCGTTCTCCAGCTTGGCCTGCACCTGTTGAGGTGGCGGGGGTCGGTGAGGCCGGCTCGGCCCGCTCCCGGCCCGCCCGCCCGTCTGCGCAGACCCGACCTCACCTCGGCGCCCGCCAGCAGCAGCCGCAGCTCCTGCAGGCTTTCGTTGATGCGTGCGCGCCGCTTCTTCTCCACCAGGGGCTTGCGGGCCTGCGGGAGCGGCGGCTTGAGCCCGGGCCGGCTATCTGGCGGTCCGGTCCCCACCCGCCAGTCCCCGGCCCGCAGCCCGCACCTTGCGGTCCCCCCGCGCCTCCCAGCTGTCCTCGTCCTCCCGACTCGCGCGGTCCCGGCGGGGCCCTAGGCACGGAGCCATGACTAGTTAGGCCTAGAGTTCGCTGAGTCCCTGGAGCCCCAGCCCCGCGCCCAACAGTCCGCGGTTCCGAAGGCCTAAGAACCCCACGGTCCCAGCCACCGCCTACCGCCCTCCGCCCTCCGCTCTTTCGGCGCGGCCGCCCCGCCCATTTATAAAGCCTGATTTACATCTCAATGTTTTCATTGGCTGCGCTGGTCCGCAGCCGCCGTCCGCCTGGGCGCCCCGGCCAATGGAAGCGGCGTGCTTTGTCCGGCCCCCGTCGCCCCGGCGGTCGGCAGCTGGTGGGGCGTGGCGGCGGGCGGACCCCTCCCGGGGCGGCCCCAGCGGAATCGGCGACCCGGGAGCAGACCCTGGGGTACCCTGGGCGTCCCTTCCCCTGAGTACAGACCCCTTGTTTTCAGTGCGTACGAGCTAGGGCTCAACTATTCACTCATTCATCCTCTTTTTCATTCGTTTCGGGTCGGTTCACAAGGGGTGGAGCCACATCGTGCTTTTCGGACGTGGAGGGGCATCGGGTCCCGGGCAGAGTAGATGTGGAGTACGGGGGTGCGGGACTCGAAGAAACGAGGGTGGGGCGGTCTCACGCTCCCTACGTTGCTAGTTTCTTGTCCCAACCTCTGGCCCTATCCGCTTTTGCTGCTCACTGCCCGCTTGGTGCCTCGGCTCCTTTGGACGCGCCTTCATCTTGCCTCCTGTGCCCCTTGGTTCCCTGTGCTCCTCGGCCCCCTGCACCCCTCAGCCCCCTCTCCCCATTGTCTCTCTATCCCCTTGGTTCCCCTGTGCCCCACGACCCCCTGCACCCCTCGGCCCCCTGTTTGCTCAGGCCCCAGTGTCCCTCGGCCTCCTGTCTCGTCGACTCCCCTTCCCAGTTAGTTCTCTCTGCCCTCTGGGGCCCCCTCGCCCCAATCTCACCCCGGCCCCACACCCTTCCCTCCTCCCGGCCCTGGCCCCCGCCGTCTGGCCTCGTCTTGATGCCCGTGACAGTTGGCAGCTGCAGCCTCCTCGGCGGAGAAAAGCAGTGGCTGCGCCAAGAGCGACAGGTGTTGGCCGCGCCTTTGTCCCGAGGCGTCTTTGTCCCAATCGGGCGGCGGCGGGCGCGTTTGTGTCGGCCAGACGCCCAGAGCCTCGCCTGGGCTGCCCATCTGCCTCCAGGTCCTGCCTGGCTGGGGGTGTGGGTGTGGGGGCCCAGGCCTACTGGCGGGCGCACTGCGCTTTCAGGCCTCTCTGCCAGGCCCCTGCACACACCCTGCTTCATACCTCCAACACCCTCGACCCCCTTGGATGCGTGTCTCCCTGCCTAGCACCAGCACAGGGCTCTCACCCAGTCCCTGCTACCTACTAAGTAAGGACTGGGATGGTCAGGGTCTGGTCTGTGTTTGCCAAGTTATGGTCAAGTGTAGCATGTGTTCTACACAGAACCTGGCCCTACCAGGTTAAGTAGGATAAGTAGGAAGGAAAGGTAGGGGGTATCTGGAGGACAGCTGGGAGATGGTTGGGATGGTGGGACCAAATGCCCCACCCACCCACTTTGCATCATGGCCTTCCATTCCCGGTTCCCAGACAGACACCCACAGACTTCGAGCAGGTGGAGTTTGAGATAGGTTTGAAGACTTGACTTGTCTTCTATAATCACCTGGGAGCCCTTTCTGCTAGCCCATTCACCTGTCCCTACTTTGCTTCTGGGTTGCTCCTGAGGTACACTCTGTCAGAACGCCACCCCCCTTTCCCTCACCCCATGTTGTCCTCAGTCTCCCCCACAAGCTAAAGTCCAGACCTCTTCCTCCCACCCTGCATTGGCTGTTCCAAAACCAAAATGCCCCTCACTCCCTTCCTGTTAGTGGGGATAACAAGGTAGGGGCTGGAGTGGTGGCCCATAGCTGGCTGAGACCTCGCTGTCTTTCATCAGGATGTTGTCTAACCCAAGGAGTCCCACAGGTGGCTGAAATTGTTTCCACCCCCTTTGAGAAAAATACAGGCAAGCCAGCACTGTGGTGTATTTTGCACTCCTGGGTGTGAACACATTCATCCTGTTCCCCTTACCTAAGTGAGTTCACCCTGGAGCAGGTTGAGCAGAGCCCTAGGGAAAGCTAACACCTGAATGGGTAAGGAACTGATCAAAGAAGACAGAGGACGAAGACAGGATAAAGGCAAATGGTACGAACAGAAAATGAAAGGCAATCAGGAACTCTTGGAAAACCATAAATCAGCAGCAACCTAGTAGAGGGGTCCAACACTGCGCTTCACAGATACTACAGTTTTACAAATCAAAGGTTTGGGGTAACCCTGTGTTGAGCAAGTCTGTCGGTGCCATTTTCCCAGCAGCTTGTGCCCATTTCAAGTCTCTGTGCACCCATGTTGGCCATTCTCATAGTCTTTCCAAACTTTTCATGCTATTGCACACGTCACAGACAACCATCTAGCATAAGTATAACTTAAATTTTATTGTCGTTAAGTGTCATTGAGTCAGTTCCAACTCATAGCAACCCTGTATAGGGTATCTGAGGAGCAGCTGGTGAGTTTGAACCACTGGACTTCAAGTCTACACCATATATGCACTACTAAATCCAAAAGCTAAACCCACTGCCGAAGAGTTGGATCCGACTCCTAGCAACCCTGCATAAGGTTTCCAAAGCTGTAAAGGAGCTCTGGTAGCATAGTGGTTATGAATCAGGCTGTGAACCGCAAGGTCAGCAGTTCAAAACTACCAGCTGTTCCGTGGGAGAAAGATGAGGCTTTCTGTTCCCGTAAAGATTTACAGCCTCGGAAACACTGTACAGGGTTGCTATGAGTCGGAACCGACTCCACAGCACATATAACAACAACAACAAAACCTTTACAAGAGTAGGATGTCTCACCTTTCTCCCGTGGGTTTGAATTGCTGACCTTGCAGTTAGCAGTCCCAAGGTTCTGGTAACTTGCTTTATTGTGATGTTTGCTTTCTTGAAGTGGTCTAGAACCTGACCTGTGGATCTCTGAGTCCTGGTAGGACAGAGGGTTAGGGGTTGCGCTGCTAAATGTAAGATAAGCGTTCAAACCCACCAACCTTTGTGAGAAAGAAAGATGAAGCTCCCACGGCAAAGATTTACAGTCTGGGAAGCAAGCAGTAAGGAGTGGTTCTCTGCCCTCTCAGGTGGCCATGAGACGGAAGCACATGGAAGGCAGGCAATGGCTTAGGCTATAGAGAGAAGGCAATGATGACAGAATATGGTATCAAGTTGACCTTGAAATAAACACGATGACAGGAGCTAGGACTTGGGAGACGGGAGGAGGTTGAAGTGGTGGCTAGGTGCTGGCTCATGGGCTTTATCTTATCCAGTATAAGTGTGGGGAGTTCAGTGGGTGGTGGGATGTGCCTCCGCGTGATTGTGAGGTGGCAGGACTGGAACATTCAAGGTCAGCCTTGTTTTTCACTGCCCTCCCTGGAAAGGCCTTCCCCAGCAGACCCACTTCCTGCCATTTGTTCCTTGGATGCAGTTTGCCCTGAGCACAGGCGTCCTGAGCATTTGGGCCTTTCATTCCCAGATCCAGGAACAGAGACTAGCAGAGACTGGGCAGAGGTTGGTGGTCATAGGGTGACCAGTTAGTAGTGGGGGAAGCAGGTCATAAACCCCAGGGGAGGCCACGGACATCCAGTTCCTTGTGGGCAATCTGCCCAGGAGGCTCAGAGAAGCTCCTTTCGGTTTGGAATCAAGGAAAGTGGGGTACTGCTGGGTCAAATGCAATGAGGGACCCCCCTCCCGAGGGGTGGGGCTAATACATAAAGCAAATGGCACCAGCTGGCCTTTTAGGGTCAGTTTTTTTTTTGGGGGGGCTTGCCTCTCAGTGCATTCAGCAGTTGGAATTAGATGGTCAGCCCAGGAAGCATACCCCCACCACCTGGCAGGGGTGTTTCTGGGAGCTGGCACTAGGTCCTGCCTGTCCCTGCATAGACCCTAGGGTCCAGGTTTGCCAAGTGAAGAAGAGGCCCTTACTAACTGTGGGTTCTTGCCTCACACACACCACCTGTACTGTCCCTGGTGGGACGAGGAGGCCTTCTGATGCCCCTTGGTCCACAGGCAGGCGACCAGCCTAGGCAGCAAGACAGGCCAGGAAGGGAACGCCTGTCAACGCAGAGGGAAGGGGAGCTCTGGGGGCTGAGCCAAACTTCCTCACCCCTACATTTGCAAGTGAAAAGATCAGGCCTGCTCATGCTCATTTGCATAAGTAAAGCTCGCATTGGCTGAGTTGTGACACACACACACACACACACACACACACACACACACACACACACACACGCTAGCAGGGCATGAACAGTACAAACACACTGTTGAGGGGGACTTTGCGGTAAAAGATTCTAGAATTCAGACTCTTTTTTTCAATAGACACCATCCTTGATTTCTAGTCTTCGGGTCTCAGGTCTTCTGTGCGTCTTTGGTAGAGCAAGCAGTTAAGCGCTCGACTTGTAGCTGAAAGGTGGGTGGCTCAAACCTATCCTGAAGCACCTCAGAAGATGAGCCTGGTGTCTTCTTCTGAACGTTCACAGCCCTGCTGACCCTCTGGGGCCGTTCTACTGTATACACACTTGGTTCCCCTGAGTCGGAATTGACTCAGTGGTAGTGAACAACCTTAAAAAACACACCTGATTAAAAATAAAAATATACTTGCTTTATTTACCAATATTCTAAAAGGCCAAAAAGTTGTAAAAAGATACAAGCAGTCAAACAGAGACATTGCACTGGGGGCTGAAAGCTTGGCTCACACTGAACAAACCACTTGTCCGCTGATGCTCAACGATTTATCACGCACACGCTGAGCGCGTATTGACATCTTCTTTAGAAATAGATATGAAAAAGGCGGCTCAGTTTAAAACCAAGAGATGTCCATCTGAGACCCTTCTAAATGCACATCCTAAAGAAAACAGGCAGCTCGGTGCTTGGCACCTTGTAAACAAGTTCAGGAGATGCTTCTATGAAGCCACGGCCTGGCCTCAGCGGGCTCTGAAGTTACACAGTGCGGGGTGGGATGGGCAGATGCTCCTAACAGGAGAGCTAGAAGTTCGGGGTGAGGTCACAGAAGGGGGACCACCTGGCTCTGGAGGCAGGAAACGGTTAAACCCTACACACGTCTTGGGCATGGCAGGGATGAGTAAACAGCATTCTTGTGTTTGAGTTTTGGAGAGATGGGGCTGTCAATGAATACCCACTGGACCAGAAGGCCACTCCGCTGGCTCCTGTGGTGGCTTCTCCATCAAAGATCCTGGAGGTGTTTATAGACTCCATCCTGGTTCAAGCCAAAGGCTCCGTCAGTGACACTCAGGACCGGCTGTGAGTGCATCATTACTCATGATCTCAGGGATATACGATGCAAAGTGAGGTTTTCCAAAAAGAAAACAATAAGGTGGTTGGCCTCTGTTTCCTCAAATGCCAGAAAGACCTGAATGTGATCAGGGTGCTGGTGGAAGTCTGTAGGGAGACACTAGGCCAGGTGGGGCTTGTGGGAAGGTGAGGGCTGGGTGGGGTAGCAAGAGGTGAGCTCTCTGCACCTCCAAAACTGGGTGCATTTACAAGCTGGGGGGCACTGGTTCACATGGTGCTCGCAGCAGGCTCACTGGCTGCCTGGTCTGCACAGCGTGTGAGAAAATGTGGGATTGTTCACTCAGACTAGAAAGTAAGCCCTCGCTTCCCTGCATCCCACCCGTGATGTCTGACAAGATGAAGATTTGCAGAAAAGCAGCTCTGGAGCCAGGCAGGATTGGATGGGAACACTTCCGAGATGCTGAGAGACCTCAATCCAAAATGCCCAGGAGGCTCTGGGAGGCATTGTTGCGTGTGGCATTCTGAAGATTGGTGGCAGCTGTTCTGGGCCTCTGGAGGCCTGTGGAAACTGAGGCAGGTCCCCTGACCCTCACTAAAAGGCGTTTTGGTCTCTTCAAGTTAAACAAGCCACACATATCCTCCTGGTCCCAAGTCTTCATATTTTGATATAAAAACGGACTTCTTCAGACCCTCCTCTTTCAAAGTGTTTCCAGTCACCCTTTCGGATAAGCGATGTTTTTCCTAAAATGAAAAAGCCACACAAGTATGTGTTCCTTTCCTCAGCCACCAGAGAGCGCGTGTTCCTGCGGCTCCCAGGCGCCTGACTCCAGCCGGGCTGTGGGGCTCTGAGGAGGGCTACGTTTGCTCTCGGCTGTCCTGACTCAGGAGGCTGGGTTCTTCAGGGGTGCACAGAGCAGCAGCATCTTCCTCATGTGAGACACAAAGGTCACCCTTTCCCTTGTCTTCACAGTAAACACATTCCTTCAAAGAAAATGAGAAATCAGTAACAAAAATGAGCTCTTCTTCACATAAAAGTAGTTCAGCCTCATGAAAAGGCACAAGTGACCAGGCCTTTGCAGGTCAGCAGGAAAGAGTCTGTGGAAGGGAAGGGCGGCCAGGGCACTGCTGTCTCTCGAAGGGAGGTCAGCACCCAAGTCCCCCAAAGCCAGGCAGTCGGGGTCCTCCTAGCTTTGTACACTGCAGGGGGGGGATAGTGGGGGAACTGTAAACTAGCAGGCTTAGGCCCCACCCCCAAGCTCTGCCCCTTTCTGCTGTTGGGGCTGGCAGTATCTCAGTCTTCCAGTGTGTAAAATGGGACAACAGCAATGTGCCTGTCTCAGTGAGGCATTCCTGGGCTACCTGCCATGCCCCCGTGGGGATTCCAAGTGCTAGAGAACGTTTGTGCCCCAGGGAGCTGACCTCGGACTAGGGGAGAGGGGCTATGAACTGAACCAGACATTACAGGGGGTACCTTCACAGATGAGCATCGCTAGGCTGGAACTAAGGCACGGACAGGGTAGACCAGCAAGTGGGGGGCAGAGCACGTCCTTAATTTTAAGCTGGACCCCCAGAGAAGGGGACTGTTTGAAAATATTTCTGTAAGTTCTTTGGCACTCCTCCCAGCTCACATGTGGGTGGAGTGGAGTGTTCTCAGCTCAGAGGAGAACGTGGCACAGAGGCAGACTGTGGGTTCTGAGTCCGGGTTTTAAGGAGCTCTGTTCACTCAGAATTGCCTGCTCTGGGGAAGCCACCACCGTCTCAAGGACATGGCAGTCGCCGAGGCCTCCAGCTAACAGCCTGCACTGGCTTTGTAAAACACTTAGAGACATGGTGCCCATCAGACCTATGTGTGGTCGAGCCACCTTGTGAGAGGATGCATGCCCAATCTACCTGCCAACATCAACCTTGAGAGGTCCTGAGCCAGAACCTCCCAGCCCCAAAGACACTGTGAGATGAATTGTAGCCACCAAGTTTTGAGGTAATTTACTCTGCAAGGGCAGATAAATACAGTGGCGTGAGCAAAAAAGCTGGAAACCGGAAGGAGCCATGTATAGAGGGTTTCAAAAAGTTCATGGAAAAATTCCATTATCTTGTAATTCCAGTTTCTGTGAACTTTTTAAAAGTCCCCCTGTATTTCTGAGGAGAAGGGACTCCAGCAGAGCGAAGGGCAGGATGTGCAAAGGCCCTGGGGCTGGAGTCTGCCTGGTGAGTTGGAGGAGCATGCATGAGGCCCTGTGGTTGGGGAGAAGAGTACTGGTAAGGGACTGAGGAATGAGGCAGGAGATGCAGGTGGACCTGGTGTGCCATCTTGGCCACTATTTGGACTCTGCCTTCATTGGGACTTGGGGGGGGGGGCTGTGTCAGATGACATGATCTGACTGCTGAGGGACAAGGGACAGGGTTCACTGATGAGGCTACTGCCCAACCCTAGACTACTCTTGCGACTGGAACCAGGCAAGACATTGGTGTGTCCAGGAGCGGAGAAGCACTGACTGGGAGGAAGTGGGCAGGCTGCCTGGGCTGGGCACAGGCGGTGCAGCAGGCCTTCCCCATGGGCCCCAGGAATCAGTCTGGACACATGGGGCTCCACAGAGGTGGGAACTGGTGATAGACATGGGGCATTTCCGCACAAGGAAGCCATTTAACAGAGGCCCAGAGGCGCTGACCTGGGGCAGGAGTACAGCTAAAGGAGAAACCATACCCTGGGTCGAGCATGGGCGTAGGTGCTGGGAGGAGAGGGGCACACCGAGGCTGGGCTTGCAGGCCAGCGGATGGGCACTGTGCGAGATGCTGCCAATGGTTGGGTACCATGAGGACTGAGAAAGGGCATCCCGGGGCAGAGGGCAACCCTGAGGTGCTTACCTGCACATCTATGGCCGAGGGCAGGCTGCCCATCTGCATCCAGGGGTGGACCTCACGGAGCTCCTGCTTCTGAGCTTCCGTGAACTGGGGCTGGAAGTCCTGGAGAGCTTTCAGCTTCTCTCTGTCCTCTTTCAGAACTGCGTCGAGATTTCTTTAGAAAACGTTGAGAGACAGGTAAGCTTCAAAACATCCTAGGAGGCTTTGTGTGCTTTTAAAACAAATATACGTATTTCCTACTAACTCTTTGGTGGCAATAACGTAGTTTTAGATGATTTTAATTCATGCAGATTTTCTTTTCATGGAAAATACATCACCCTACATACACTACTTGTCTGTCAGTTTGTCGTACTGTGGTGGCTTGTGAGTTGCTGTGATTCTGAAAGCTATGCCACCGGTATTTTAAATACCAGCAGGGTCACCCATGGTGGACAGGTTTCAGATGAACTTCCAGATGAAGACAGACTAGGAAGAAGGAGTGATGAACTATTTCCAAATATTTAGTCGCTGAAAGCCTTATGAATAGCAGAGAAACACTGTCACATATAGTGCCGGAAAATGAGACCCTCAGGTTGGAAGGAACATAAAATACGACTGGGTAAGAGCTGCCTCCTCAAAGTAGAGTTGACCGTGATGACACAAATGAAGTAAAGCTCATGGGAGAAAAGCCCACGGGACCTTCATTTGCTGATATGGCACAACTCAACATGAAGAGAAACAGCTGTAAACATCCACTGAAAATCGAAACATGGAATGTACGAAGTATGAATCTGGGAAAATTGGAAGTTGTCAAACATAAAATGGAACGCATAAACACTGATATCTTAGGCATTAGTGAGCTGAAATGGACTAGTATTGGCCATTTTGAATCTGATGACCACATGGCTTACTATGCCGGGAATGACAAATTGAAGAGGAATGGTGTTGCATTCATTGTCAAAAAGAACACATTCAGATCAGTCATGAGGTACAACGCTGTCTGAGATAGGATAATATCCATGCGCCTACAGGGAATCCCAGTTAATACCACTATTATTCAAATTTACGTACCAACCACTAAAGCCAGTGAAGATGAAATAGAAGAATTCTACCAACTTCTTCAGTCTGAAATCAATCAAACATGCAATCAAGATGTTTGTGATTGGAATGCAAAGGTTGGGAGCAAAGAGGAAGGCTCAAATATGGCCTTGGTGAAAGAACTGATGCTGAAGAATGCATGATAGAATTCTGCAAAACCAATGCTTTGTTCATTTCAAATACCTTCTTTAGACAGAATAAGAGATTGACTATACAAATGAACCTCACAAGATGGAATACATAGAAATCAAATTGACTACATCTGTGGAAAGAGAAGATGGAAAAGCTCCATATCATCAGTGAAGACAAGGCCAGGGGCAGATTGTGGAACAGACCATCAATTACTCATATGCAGATTCAAACTGAAGCTGAAGAAAATGAAAACAAGTCCATGAGAGCCAAAATATAACCTTGAGTATATCCCACCTGAATTTAGAGACCATCTGAAGAACAGATTTAATACATTAAACACTAAAGACCGAAGACCAGAAGAGTTGCGGGATGACATCAAGAACATCATACATGAAGAGAGCAAAAAGTCATTAAGAAGACAAGAAAGAAGGAAAAGGTCAAAATGGATGTCAGAGGAGACTCT